AAAAAAAAAAAAAAAAAAAAAAAAAAAAAGCTAGGTCCGTAAGGGGATCCTAATGGGTGCAAATCAGGGGGGGGTTGCTCCCTTCAGTTATATCGCTTTCTTTTTTTTTTTCCCTCTCTTTTAGAGGGATCGCTTATTTTTTTATTTGTGTACAGGACTCCAGATTGCAGGCTTTATGTCTTTGTTAAACCCAAAGACTGCAACTGGTTAAGTATACATTATTCCGCGAGTGATGAGTTAACCCGGGGCCAAGTCCCACTAGTATAGCAGCGTTGAGCTAACCTCAACGCCTGAATCTGGACGTGGTTTTGTGGAGACGTGCAGTTCAGGAAACTCAACACCATTTCTGCACATCTCCGCAAATCCGTCCACATTCAGGCGTTGAGGTAGCTCAACGCTGCTAGTGGGACTTGGGCCCCCGGCCGGCGTACCCATATGCCGGAAGAAATCCGTGTGACTGTCTGAAAGAAAAAAAAAAAATGCAGGCTTTGGAATCCACAGCAGGTTCGGTTATGAGGTTACTTTTTTTTTTTTTTTTTTTTGGAAAAAAAAAGAAATTTCCATTCCAAATGAGAGACAGGGGCCCGGGAATAAACTCTTCTCTTTTTTTTTTTTTTTTTTTTTTTTTTTCCCCTTTTGAAGTCTTAACGAGCCCAACGAATTCAATCTTCTGTATAATGTCGATGAATGTCCCAAATCTGTCGTTTCGCTTCAATGTCATCATAATTCTGGAACTCCGAAATGCGAAATGCGAAACGAGAGATTTGGGACATTCGTTGCTCTTTTTTTTTTTTTTTTTTTTTTTATCATTGCTCTTTTTTGTGTTGACAACGGCAATATTAAAAATTGCATGCGCCTGCTTCTAGGGCGGCGGTCGAAGGGCACACAGTTTCTGATTTCTTGCGCACGCCTTCCAGCGCAGGCACTGGGCCGTACATCAGCGGAACGTAACCGTGGGCTCGTGTTTGTTTTCGTTTTCTGTTCTCTTTTTCTGTCTTTTGTTTGATTGATATCTGCATCGACAGATCGTCAGAGAAATACAGAGGTCCCTCTGTGTGTAACTGAGTGTGTGTGTGTGTGTGTGTGTGTGTGTTGGGGAGAGAGCGAGCGAGCGAGAGAGAGAGAGAGAGAGAGAGAGAGAGAGAGAGAGAGAGAGAGAGAGAGATGCGGGGAAATGGGAGAGAGAAGTAGCGATCATGGTGGATGGCGGAAGGCGGGAGAAAGGCCAAAGGTGGGATGGTGGGAGGTGGCGGAAGAAGTCGGGAGGGGGGAGAGAGAGAGAGAGAGAGAGAGAGAGAGAGAGAGAGAGAGAGAGAGAGAGAGAGAGAGAGATGCGGGGAAATGGACCAGTGGGGCTATCAGTGGGCGGGAGTAATGCGGACAAGGCTATCATCGCTGTTAATGGTGGCGGTGAAGGCAGCACGATGGGCTGGACTGGGACTGGGACTGGGATTGGGAGCGGGAGTGGAAGTGGGACTGTGTCCCAACACATCGGCAAATTCTCGGTCGAAGATGTGGAATTGCTGACAGTCCTGGTTAGCGAAGCGCAATCTGCTGGGTGTGTTGGCACTCATGGGACTTGGGCAGATTACGTGAAAAACGTGTTGAGATGCCACGGGGTTACCAATCCCTCCTTGCATTCTTGGAAGGACCGCGCCGCCTTCATCTACTCTTTATATCAGCCGTCCGATCTGTCGATGATACACAGACTGCGCTCCTGGTTCAGCAACAAGAAGGATCTTAATCATCTTGAGCAAACGGACCCCTGTCCTTCCTCACTGGAGCAGGATCTCGTTTTTCAGACAAAGAATCACCCTGACTACGTCCGGCAATATGTCTTCCCCTCAAGTAACAGAGGGTGGAGAATGACCGAGAGAGGATGTTCAGTGAACTTTCCGATTCCGCAGAGGATTGTGTCTATCCATTGCAAAGTGATTGGAGAGAGAACTGATGCGACCTACGGGGAAGGAGGAGGAGGAGGAGGAGGAGGAGGAGGAGCAGGAGGAGGAGGAGGGACAGAGAGAGGAGATGCAGCCGATGTGATAGCCGAAGTAACGGCCGTAGATAGAGGGATGAATGTGCTAATTAGAGAGAGGGTGGTGGTCCCGGGGTCATCTCGGGGATTTGCTGAAGAGATTGACGATCAGTCCAAGGGGATGGCGGCACTTCCGCCGAAGCAGCTTGCTGGTGTCCTGTCGCAAAGAACTGGGACTGGGACTGAAATTGGGACTGGTGCTCTTGGGACCACCACCTACGAGTCGTTCAGAAGGGTGCAGAACGCCGTTTATGCTCTGATTAATACGCCTGGCACCATACTTGTAGGGTTTCATCTTCATGACACGTTGACCAATCTGATGATTGAACACAGCCGGGTGATCGAGGTGGCATATATCTACGGCAATCATCTGATCGACGGCTGTAAGTTCTCGGATCGTCCGCAGTCGGACTTGCAAACCCTGTTCGAGAGCGTCTTCAAGTCCCAGGACATGGGAGTTCCCTTCTGCTCCTCCTCCTCATCCTCCTTCTCCTCTTTGCCAGGAGGAAGTGTGCGCGCTTCTCCTTCTCCTTCTTCCGAGTCGCTTATGGCGATGAAACTCGTTCTCTTCAAGCTGGGGTCATTCTTTCCGTCGTCCGTTAAGGCAGAAGAGATTCACAAGCCCGCCGGCGTGGAGGAAGACCATCGGCGCAAGCTGTACGTTCACAGAATTCCCATCGACATAGTGGGAGAGAAGGCACTGCAAGCCATCATCCCTTCCACCTTCGACTGCCACGTGGAACCCATTCGGCCTGCTGCTTCCAATCAGGAGGGAATCGGCTTCACCTGGATCTGCTTTCAAGATGCTAATCAGGCAAATGCTGCTTTCTCCCAAATCAAGGGCTACCTGACCCATGATAGCCGAGGTAAACCCCAGAAAGCAGTGGTCCTAGCTAACCTCCGCCAAGCGATCAGTTGTGTGTTGTACATTCGGACGTGGTCGGAGGCCGCTGCCGCAGAGGAGGGGGTGGAACACAGACTGCTCCCTCGGTACAAAGGGCCAGAGTGGGCTGCCAACCCCAATCTCACGACACTCTGTTCCGTGCCCTTGGGTGCCCAGGGGTTCAAGAACTCGGCTATGGCGGCAGAGTCACCTGCCCCTGCATCGGGGTATGGAGACGGGATGGAGGAGAAGAGGAGGCTGTATAGCGGGGGGAAGGTGTCCGTACCCGCCGCCGGTACCTTGCCTGGCAATTTGTTGCCGGTATTAGGGAGAAGCGAGGGAGAGAAAATGGGAGAGGAATGGGAGCAGGAGGAGAAGAAGAGGGTGGAAGACAAGAAGGATGGAGAACGTACTGGGTGGATTGGCGGGGCAGGCAGGGGGAGCGAGGCTGTGGGTCCTCAGCATGCCACGTGGAGGATGAGAGACAGCACAGGGGCCGGTGGTGATGGAAAGCACAAGGTCGAGGTGGATGACAAGGGAGGAGGGAATGGTGTAGAGACCTTGGTCGAGAGCAGAAGGAAGAGGAAGAAGGAGGAGGAGGAGGAGGAGGAGGAGGAGGAAGAAGAAGATGAAGAGGAGGAACATATGATGGAGCAATGCAGAGAGGATGCAAGTGGACAGGAAGCTGGGCGGTCTGACAGAAGAGCAGAGCCGGCGAGTTATGCTGAAGAGGTTAGGGAGAAGACGGCGATGGTGGATGCGCAAGCTGTAGGCGATGGTGAAGACAATGGGGGCTCGAGCAAGAAGAAGAAGAAGAAGAAGAAGAAGACTAGGAAGATGGAGGAGGGAGGTGGAGAGGAGAATGAACCAATGGCAAGTGAGGATGTGGGAGAACTGAAGAAGTTGGTCTGGGGTAGCGACGTGGAACCGACGGAAGAGGAGGACGAGAAAAAGAACAAGAAGAGGAAGGAGAAGGAGAAGAAGAAGGAGAAGAAACGTGCAGGCCAGGAAGAAGCCCCGGCTATGGATGGCGATGTGCACAACCAGCCCGAGGATAACGAGGATGCTCCCGCTGCAGATAGCGACATGGAACCAACGGAAGAGGAGGAAGAGAAGAAGAAGAAGAAGGAGAAGGAGAAGAAGGAGGAGAAGAAGGAGAAGGAGAAGGAGAAGGAGAAGAAGGAGAAGAAGGAGAAGAAGGAGAAGAATCGTGTAGATGAGGAAGAAGCCCTGGCTATGGATGGCCAAGTGCACGATGAGGCCGAGGATAGCGAGCATGGTCTTGCTGCTTGTCAGACGAAAGCAAAACCTGTTGGAAAAGATGGAAAGGAGGGCCGAAAGAGGGGGGAAAGGGGCGATGAGGAAGACAGGGTGGAGGTAGGGCGGGAGGAGGAGGAGGAGGAGGAGAAGAGGAAGACGAAGAAGAAGAAGGGCCGAAACGTGGTAGTAAAAGACGAGCAAACTGTGAATCAAGGAAGTGTTGCTGATCACTCCGGCGGTGAAGATGAGGATATGGAGACTGATGATCGGGGAAGTAAGAAGAAGAAGAAGAAGAAGGAGAAGACGGAGAAGAAGGAGAAGGAGAAGAAGAAGAGACACGAGGAGCGGGTGACCAGTGACGGAGAAATCTGGGGGAGGGAGAGCACATCAGCAGCAGCAATGGAGAGAGAGGAGGGAGCACGGAATTGCGAGAAGAATCCAGCGAAGGAGAATGGCGTAAATGAAGAGGTGGATGTGGGGAGCAAGAAGAAGGCGGACAAAGGGAGGAAGGAGGCGAGGGGGAGCGCTATGCAGCAGGCACTGAGCGAAGAAGAAGGAGCAGAGACGGACGTGGAAACAAAGAGCAGGAAGAAGAAAGGCAAGGTGAGGGAGAAGGCAGCAGACGAAGAAGATGAGCAAGACAGGGAGGTGGAAAGAAAGCACACAAAGAAGAACAAAGACAGAGAGAGGAAGGAGGAGAGGAAGGATCCAACTGGTGCCGATGGTGGGGAAGAGAGGGAGAGGGAGGTGGGGACCAAGAGCAAGAAGAAGAGGAAGGAGGAGAGGGGTCAAACAGAAGGTAGCAAAGAGGGACAAAGTCAGGAAGGCAGCGATGGCAAAAAGGGTAAGAAGAGCAAGGCTGAGGAAGGGGGAGATGAGAGGAAAAGGAGAGCAGAAGGAGATACCAAAGGAGAGGTGGGGAATACGAGGAAAAAGGGGGGCCAGAGTTCGAATCCAACAGACGATGGGAAATCCGAGTCGAGTGGAGATGGGCATTTAGAGCACTTAAAACAGATGCTGGCAAAACAGGACGCAGAGATGGCTGCTCTGCGGCGGTTGGCTTGTCAGTTACTAGAGGGGACTGCAAATCCCACGAGTGCCGCTTTATCAGGGATGTTAGGTGCGGAACAGAAATCCAGCAATTTCTGAACCAGCCATGGATCATAAAGCACCAGTGTCGTTGGATCCTATCTTGTCCCACCTGACCTTGGAGTTGTTGGTTCCTCTGTTACAAAGCGGAACACGGGCATGCTAAAAAAAGGTTGCAGAGCAATGCAGACCAAAAACGCGAGGGGCGTGCCGGATTCTTTAATCATTTTATCGTACTGTGATGGTGTGTGCAGAGTCTTCTAAGTTCTAACTAAATGCAAGGAGACTCTGGGCAATGCAGGCAATGGCGGGCGCTCTGAGGATTTACGTCAGCACTATCGGAGGGCGACCGGCTGGATTGCCAAGGGGGCTGCATTTTCGTCAGCCGGTCCGCGGCAATGTTCTTTACTGCCGTCTGCAGCAGGTGTCAGACCCAGGCCCAGTTTTTCAGATGGGGGACAAAGTGGTAGTACTGGCTTGAGTGTACACGTGTTTCTAATTGTTTACGGAGGCGGTGGTCTGGCTTCTCCTCCCTCCTCCCTCCTCCTCCCTCCTCTTCCCTTGTCTACTTTTCTGCCAATGGTGTTGGGTGCTTGGTAGCTGTTGGATCCCTCAGAGCAGGGAGCCCCTGTAATGAAGATAGAGGGGGGTATGCAGAGAGCTGTAAATTAGCGAGGCGGTAGATAGATAGGTCGACAGACTGATATAAGATGATAGATAGATAGATAGATAGGCACGTGGGTCAAGCCTCCGCTGTGAAGGGACTCCCACCCAATGAGAGCGAGGAGAGACTAGAGGCAGTGTTTGTGCAATGTCTAGCGGATGTCTTGGAAGATAGCTGTGTTGAGGTGCTATTCTTTTTCCATGGTTAGCTTGCGGCTTGGCCTGCTGCTGCGGTTTCTCAGGGAAAAGGCAGAGGCGTGACGACACTTTGTGAGCTTTTGCAGATTTCTGTATGGTTGGGGGCTACTTCGGTCGCTGAAAACCGAACCGACAGGATGTAATGGTACATGGAGCTGCGGCTGAAGGCTGGGAACTTACAGGAGCTGTAACTGGAGTCGAGGGTGACGACAGTGACGATCGCGTTTCTTCAGCTATGTCTCTTTTCATAACTACGGCTGTTTTTTTTAACAAATGCAGTCGACATGTAGTTTGCCATAGCGTTGAGTTGAGTTGGGATATGCTGTGTTGTGTCTGACTGATGAGCGAGCACGTAGCACGCACCGGGTGTGTGCCCATTTGGCTGAGCTGGGGCAGACAACCTGCGCCAATGGGGTTTTTCAACGAGCACGGTGGATGCGGATGGCTCGTGTCATTACCGTATGTCACATGTTGTCCGGCTCTTCATGCAACATGTCTTGCAGTTGCTGATGTTTTACTTAGTTGCGTTTGAGATTTCGTGAAGTGGTTGTTCTCAGGCGTGTACGGATCGTTTGTACGATGCCTGTCTGCCATGCTTGTTGCGCCAACCATTGAACTATGAGTTGGGATTGAGATTATGACTGTGATGCAGTGTCATTGTATACAATCATCTGTCAAAATCTGCAGACTAGGATTGCGCTGAAGCCTTTCGCGCTTGCCTTTCCTGGATCTGGAAATTGCAGGTATGCAGGCCACAATACCTCTCTCTCTCTCTCTCTCTCTCTCTCTCTCTCTCTCTCTCTCTCTCTCTCTCTCTCTCTCTCTCTGTCTCTGTGTGTGTGTGTGTGTGTGTGTGNAGAATACTAAGTACTAGTGGCAGTAAGTACTACTACAGTCATTATAGCTGTATTTGAGGCATCTTTCCGTCTATATACAGCGTTAATGACCGTACGTTGTATTCGCCGAAGAAGGTACTGGTAGTAAGTAAGTACTACTAACATTAGAATACTAAGTACTAGTGGCAGTAAGTACTACTACAGTCATTATAGCTGTATTTGAGGCATCTTTCCGTCTAGATACAGTGTTAATGACCGTACGTTGTATTCGGCCGAAGAAGGTACTGGTAGTAAGTAAGTACTACTAAGTACTACTAACATCAGAATACTAAGTAGTACTAGTGGTAGTAGGTACTACTAAGTACTGCTAACTTGTTTACAAAAGATTTGTGTGCAATCACATCTGGGGCAATGTCCCACTTGTCCACATCCTGCATTTCTGGCCGTTGATCGTTAACCCTGGACGATGTGAAAAGTTGAGGATCCAAGTAAGACAGGACCACAACCCACCCCAGCCCCCTCCCCCCCCCCGTCAGTCGTCATTCATTTGCGCCAGTGCTAAATGTATGTGTTCGGCATCTGCACATCACCTCACTGGGGATAATGTCGTTGGCCTTGCCGAGAGGCAAAAGGAGGGAGAAGGGAGAAGGGAGGAGGGGGGAGGGAGGAGGGAGAAGATTTGTAGGGACAGGCAATCATGGAGTTGGTTCAGTTAAGAAACTTCTGAGCTGGAAGTAGAGGAATGGAAACCATTTGTAATATATTATATTTAATTACTCAAGAGTCAAGGCAATTGAATTAGTTAAATAGTAAATACTAATTAGCTTGAAACCTAGGCCACCAGCCGGGCCGCCCGGGTCCCAGGTGGCCATCCCGTGTAACTGTCTCTTATACACATCTAGATGTGTATAAGAGACAGGTGTGTGTGTGTGTGTGTGTGTGTGTGTGTGTGTGTGTGTGTGTGTGTGCTGTATTCTTCACATTGTTCTAGATGTGTTCGCTGTATTTTTCTCCCCTTGCAGTGTGACCAGCAACACCCCTGGGGATCTGCCAAATATAGTTTGGCAGGTTTTCTTTCGCACTACTGGGGGGGGGTGTCTGTGTCTAAGGGAATGGCTGCACCACTCGCTACTCGCCAACATTTTGAATGTATCTGAAGGTGGCTATTGTCCCGACACATTTGCTATGTCGGTGTTTGGTGAGTGTTGCGGCGGGGCTTTAAGTCCTTTTTTTTCACTCACCCTTCTTTCCTGGTTGGGAGAGACTTTCGTCCTAACGACCTGCCTTGCTGCTGGCCTTGCTGTCTACCTGTTCGTGCACTTTGCGCTTTAGCCTCTGACTTGCCGGCTCACCTGCTTGCCGTGGCTATGACGTCATTGCCTGCCCTGCCACCTGCTTGCTTTGTTGCCTGTCTGCCTGCCTGCTGTGCCTTGGACACTGGTCTTTCCTTGGTTGCCCTGCTGCCTGCCTGGGTGCTCACCCACTGTGTGTCCTGTTTCCCTGCCGTGTTGCCTTGCTGCTTTCACCTGCTTGCTTTGAGTTTTCCCTTGCAGGTTCCCATGGTGGTTGTGTTGGTGGGGTGCTCTGGTGGGTGCGTTGATGATGGCGTTGGTGGTGGTGTTGGTGGTGGCGTTGGTGGGGCTGTTGGTAGTTTTGCCCTGGTGTTGCGTTGGTGGTTGCCTTGGTGGTTGCCTTGGTGGTTGCCTTGGTGGTTGCCTTGGTGGTTGCGCTGGCGTTGGTGCATTGCAGGACAACGTGTTCGATTGTTTCATTGAACCTTTTTGTCCCATGAATGTTGTTGGTTTTTTTTTTTTTTTTTTCAGGGAAAAAAAAACAACAACAACGGGACTTTCGTCGTCGCACAAGCTTTGCACCAGGGTAGGGGTAGGGCCTTGCCCTTTTTGTTCCAAATTCATTTGGCATGATCATTCAGCCAGCCATCCATTTGTTGGCAGACATCTTTGCTTTATCTGCTCGGCCATTGTAACGAAGGATTTTTTGCTCGTTCATGTTTTCCTCTCCCAAACCAATGAAGGGGCTTGAGAAGGTTGACATATTTTCTCCACCTTCTCCTAACAATGCCCCTACTACCAATGAAGGGGCTTGATCGAGGGTACTGGATTGTGTGGGTCCAGTTGTGGCTGGCATAGCTGTCTGTCGCCTCAGTACAGACTTGTTGACGTACCAGAACAGGCTCTGGATATCGGTCCCGCGTCCAGTTGTGTCCGGGTTCAGTTGTGGCTGGCGCAGCGGTGACCCTATATATAGTACTGGCTGAGAACGTATGAGGGAACACGAGGATATCATATGAGGCTCATAACAACCAGCCAGGATATCAATTACAGGCTCTGGATATCGGTCCCGGGTCCAGTTGTGGCTGGCGTAGCGGTGGCCCTATATATAGTACTGGCTGAGAACGTATGAGGGAACAAGAGTATATCATATGAGGCTCATAACAACCAGCCAGGCTATTAATTAGGTTATCAACTAGGCTATCAATTAGGCTACCAACTACCATCTTCAGCGGAATAGAACGCCTGGTCATGATAGCTGCATTTGGACCAACTTGCAGTCCAGATGCAGCAATAGTGACCGGGCGTTCTATTCGGGTGAAGAGGGTAGGCTATCAATTAGGCTATCAA